TATAGGTCGACTTTAATTTTATTTTCGTTATGATACAAAGAAACTACTTGGATAAATTAAGTGAAAGGAGAAGGACAAAATGTAAAATTATTTTTAAGTTTTTTCTTTGGAGTGTTAAATATCTTTTATCTACAAAAGATACCCATGTTATGTAAATTTGGTTAAGAATCAGAATATATATATATATATATATATATATATATATATATATATATATAACATGCATAAAATTAATAAATTAAACATAATGAAATTAATAAAGTAAATTGAATAACATATAATATTAATATAGTTATTTAAAATAATAATCATAATAATATATACATATATGCGTATTCCGGCGTGAGTTATCACCTTATTACATACAAAATTAATTTAAAAATATTGGTTTGGGGTTTTATGATAAACAAAAAGTTTTATAAAATTTTAAAAGAATTTCTCGATCTATTACTACTTATCAAAGATAACTAAGGATGTTAATTAAAATATATTTTGAAAGATGAATAAAAAAAGTTAAGTACAACCATAAACAATCTCATAACAGTAATTTAGGTTGAAATTATAAAAAAAAAAACAAATAAAATCAATTTAATTTATTGATTTTAGATATTTTTAAAACAATGTATCAATTTAGCTTTTTCCATTTATTGTGAAGTGTTATGCTATTGTGTAAAAAATAAAAACATTTTTTAAAAGTAATCTTATCACTAATTATTAATTTAATTAAAAAGGTAAAGTATTTCTAGATGAAAATACTTATTTAGAGAAGATAAAAACATGTAGGGAATGTTATTATGATACAACGAAACTATATAATAATTTTATATGTAATACAATTCAGTTATAAATAGGTTATATTTCAATTTTTTAAAGAATACATACATTGATAGTATAAAAAGAATCTTATATGTTGTACAGACCAATTATAAATTAGGCTAAATCATAATCATAATTAATATTATTTGTAGTAAAATCCAATAAATAGTTCTATGGGAATTTACAAAAATGTATTATTTTGATATTTTATAAACTTTTACACCATTTTATATTTATTTTTTATCTTTTATTTCTCTTTTCCTTTATTAATATTAAATTTTATTTTTAAAATGATTATATTACTTTTAAGAATAATGACAAGTGGTTGTTTCGGGAATATTTCTCATTCCAAACTTTACTTTTTAAAATAATCTTATTTATTTTAATTAAAAATAGTAAGGGATATTCCAGATAAATAAACATTGATTTGAAAGAAGATAAAAAAACATCTGAAAACTATATTCAAAACTATACGAGTTTTCTTATATGTAGTACAGTCTAATTATAAACTAGACTAACTTATAAATTGAATCTTTTTTAATTTTTGTTCATAATTTTGGTCTTTTATTTTTTAAACAATTTTAGTCTTTTTAAATTTTAGAAAAATATAGTTTTAGTTAAATTTATATTTAATATTTTCGTCTAAGACGCTGTCATGAAATACATACTTTAGTTTATATTTAAAATAAAACCTAAAGAATTATGAAAAAAATTAAAAAATTAGATTAAAATTTCTTAAATATTGTAATTGAAAATCAAAATATTTTAATTTATTAAATTTTAATTCAAAAAACATCATTTTAATTTCGAAAATTGATAAATCATAGTTTCTGAATAAAGCGCACCGTTTATAAAGTTGGGGGAAAAGGAAGAAAAATTGAAGAAAGGGTAAAGAGGCGAACTCAAATAACAGGGATCTGGTGTAATTGGGGCGAGAGGGTTCACTCGATCTGCAACGACGCTAGAATCGTGATTGAGGAGGTGGAGAGAGATGGGAGGACACGGCGAAGGCACAACCTACAAAGGTGTTACCATTCATCAACCAAAGCGATGGCACACCATCACCGGCAAGGGTTTGTGTGCGGTCATGTGGTCAGTTTTCGCTTCACTTCTCTGCTGTTCATATGCTCCTTGTTTTTTTTGCCCTAATTTCATGGATTCTATGATTTCTTGTTCCAGGTTTTGGGTACTGTACAGGGCAAAGCAAGATGGTCCTGTTGTATTGGTAAAACACCATTCTGACTCGTAATTCATTCCATTTGTTTCATCCTTACCCTTACAATAGCGTTGTTTCATTTTTGTTTTTTTCTAGGGCTGGAGGCACCCTTGGGAGGGTCACCATGATGATCATGGCAAGGGGCATTAGCATTCCTCAGGTACCTCACAAAACTATTTTTGTTTCCTCTCCCTGTAAATTTAATTTCCAATTACCTCTTTTCTTGTCAGTTATTAATCCGTTTAGGGATTACTTCATAAAATCTGCTGCTTTCTTTCTTACTCTTCTTTGGTATTGCAATGCAATGTCTGTTCTTTACACCTGATGCATCTCAGAAACCATAAGATGACATTTTAAATCTGGGTTATTGTGTGGGTTTGAGACTACAACATGACCCCACCCATTTTATTTAAATTCTACCGTAGACACAATTATAAATGCTGGCTGAGCGCAGTTGCTACTTGAAAAATTAGGATTCGTTCACACTTTGTTGTGGGCAATATGCTTACTACACGATTCTAATGTATTACCTATTTTGTTGCCAATAGGTGGTTTGATATTCGTATTTGTCATTGATATATCACAATAAACCTCTTGATGTGACACTTTAAACATTTAGTATAAAAAAATCGTTTTCAATTTCGAGTTGGAAAAGAAAATCATTCGTTTTCTTTCGTTTCCATACGGTGTACGTGCACGCTTTTGATGAAGCATCGACATTTAGGGGTTGTTTGCGTTTTATCATTTACTATTTTCATTTTTTTCTAAAAATATAAAATGGTAAGGAAAATGTTTGGACTGTTACTATTACATTCTTAGAAGTGGGAGTTTGCATAGCTGAAAATTTTAGATTTTTGTAAACAGAATGTTTTTTCTTGTTAACGGGTTTTCTTGTAATGTAATATGGTGCAATATTTGTTATTGTAAAGAATTATTTTCTTTTACTTTCTCATTTCACTTCTCTTCTTCATTGCAACCCTCGTGTAATGTACGGCTGACCGAGTGAGGAGTGGTAATCTTGCCCTTAAACTTTTTCAGGGTTAAATTTAAAATCACGGTGTCTTTTCAACAAGGGTCGTCATTATTGTATTTTTCTCAAAGGTGTAGCTAGATAATGATTATTTGGTGTGTTGTGTATGTCAATTGATTGCTTGTGCTCCCTGTGCTTAAGCCAACTTCAAAGTTGTAAAGCTATTCCTGTTTTTCCATGTCAAGCTTGTAAGCTATTTTGGGTGACTCTCAGTCTTTGTAGCTCGGACACATCTCATAAATAGTGTGTCCCATGTCCGACACGCTTATGATACTCATACGACTAACGTATTGATAAAGTGTCCAATTTGAAAGATAATTTTTTGTCTTTGACATGGCTCTAACACAATGATAATAATTACAAATCCAATGATTTTCTAAAACACCCATAAACTAGTAAACTTATTACATAAGTTTCTATTACGATTATAAAAATAAGGAACAAATCTTATATGATCACTACTTTTCACTTTTTGGATATTAGATAGATAGATTAGATTCATTTTTGTGTTGGTTGACAGTTTGAAACTAATATTTTTATACACTGTGTCTCGTGTCTTATATTGTGTCTTATATTTTTTCAATTTAGCCATATCTCTGTGTCCGAATCTGTATCTGGACTTCATAGCTTTCTGTTTCTGTGATTGCTGGCAGAGTCACTATAGTTTTAAACTTGAATCGACAGTCTTTCCAGGGGAAGATGTGTTTAGAAGTTTGGGTTCTTAATTTTAAAATGATTGTAGAAGGAAGGGTGGAGAAAGAACAGAGTAAGTCTTGAAGAAAGTAACTTACTTTGAATTTGTGCCAGTAAGAAAACTCATAGGAAATGGAAATGATGATATAATGAAGACTCCAAAAATATGAAAAATTGAATATACAAATGACTTTCAGGAAATGTAATGATAGCAGGAAATATTTCATGAAACAAAACACTCGTAAGTTTTATTTATACTCTCTATTTTTACATTTACAAGAGTGACTTATTAACTTGATCCTGTTCAGTACATATACAACATCTTTTGGACAGCACAGATTGAGATTTAGAAACACGTCTGAAGACAGAAATCTCTACCAAAATGAACTAGAGAAATAACATGTATTATTTTTCTTGGCAGGCACGATCTCCAAAAATGGGAAGAACAGAACTTGAAGTGTCTGTTGTTGTGGGTGCGCTGTTAGTTGAAACGTTACCTTGATTAATTCAATAAATTGGCTGTAAAATAAGAGATTTCTTTTTGCATGATTTCATCAGTTAGATATGTTTCAGCTCACCTGTTAACTGGGATGAAAGTCATGGCTATGTTTTGCTGGATTAATTATCCATGTTATCGTTGTTCTCAGAAATTTATGGGCTTAGATTGTGTATTCCAGCATTTGACAACACAATGTTATAATGTTTTTTGTTTATTTCAAAGAACTTCATGTTGTGCTAAACGTCCGGGATCTTAAGTATAGATTGTATCCACATTAGTTAGAAATCATTTGCAGAATTGTGAAGTAGCGAAAAGAGTGATAGATTTGGAAGATTTTCCCCTTTTTGCGTTTGTAACACTAACAGTATTATGAACTTGAAGAGTGGATTTAAGAAACATTTGCTCTCGGACTCACTCGTGAATAGTGATGACTAACACTTGCTTGTGCAAACCTATGTTTAATATTTTTAATGGGAGAATAATTTGTTCGCCAAACAGCAGGAATGATTTTTAAATTTAAGAGGATGAATGAGGTGAATTTAAGAGATTGTGCTACAAACATGGGGAAGTTGGATCTGGATGCTATCAAGATCATCCAATCATCCCATTCTGGAATAACTTTTTTGAAAGCTTTAAATATGTTTTGGTTGTATCAAATCATTGATTTTATTTGCCATAAAAAAAAATAACATTTTTAACTAATTTGCTTATATAATGTTTTTGGGAGTAAAATAAAATTAGTTGGCCAAAATGGAGTATTTTTTAAAGAGTAAATAATAAATTTTTAATTTGAGACATAAAATAATAAGTACTTTGTCAAGGATAAAATATATGTTAAGTCTTAAAAATTTAGTTTTTATTGAAGACAGACTCCGAAATTATCTGGGCCTATGGTTAAACACACAAGAGGTGAGGAGACATTAAAAATGATCATAATTATCATGATGACATTATTAAACCAAGCATATTTCAAAATACTGGTCTATTTGTTTATCATGATAGAAAACCTGCCTAGTTTTTGGTAATAATATTAACTAATTATAGGTTGTCTTAGTTTAGAAATTTATTTTGGGGAAAAGTAATAGACGTAGAATAAGGAATCGAATCTGTTGTCGAAGAGAGAAGGTAGAAGGTGTTTCCAGAGAGTTCGTTTGTGGGTTGAAATAGGTAGACTAGATTGTTAGATCAGAGTGCATGAACAAGGAGTGAAGAAGGAGATAGGAATGTCATACTTGTTACCACATTTGCACTCTGGTTGGGCCGTTGATCAGTGTATTCTCTCAGAAGAAGAACGAGTTGTCGTCATTCGCTTCGGCCACGATTGGGATGACACCTGCATTCAGGTATATATAGATAGATAGATATATACTCTTCTCCATTTCTTCTTCCTTCTTTCTAATTTCAGTTTCTTCTACCTTTGTTTCTTTATCAGATGGATGAAGTGTTGGCATCGGTTGCTGAAAAGATTAAAAATTTCGCTGTGATTTATGTTGTGGATATCAGCGAGGTGCCTGATTTCAACACCATGTACGAGTTGTATGATCCATGCACTGTTATGTTCTTTTTTAGGAACAAACATATCATGATAGACCTTGGAACCGGAAACAACAATAAAATCAACTGGGCTCTCAAAGACAAGCAAGAGTTCATAGATATTGTCGAAACAGTCTACCGTGGAGCAAGGAAGGGACGCGGTCTTGTCATTTCTCCTAAAGATTACTCTACCAAGTATCGCTACTGAGTTACATTTATGTCCCATATTCACGTTAATGTTCATTGCTTTGTAATTCATTTTTCAGCTTTTTAGATACTCAATGTTAAAGGACTATCTTTGATATATACTTTAGCATTTTGTATGAAAGATCGACTCAATATTTCTTAGATATTTTTAATTACTAAAATAAAAAAGTTTAATTTGCAGGTATCAGAATTAGATAGCCATTTAGGAGATGTGGTGTTATAATTCATATACTATGAGTTTTTATCATCTAGTATTATAGTTTAGTTCAATCTTATCACTTCTTGATCGAAATATTTATATAAAAATAATATCTCGGATGATATAATAAAAGAAAAAAGAAAAAATTGTAATTTACAGTTCTCCAGACTTTTAACTAACATAAAAGTTTTAATATCGAACTTTTCCATAAATAAAACGATTTTCGACAATTTATCCTGAAAAACAAAATTTACAACTTTCACCCTTATGTTCACCAGAAACAGTTACCTTATTTATACATAGAGGGAGGGGTAAAATGGTAAGACCAACCTGAACCCTCCATAACCAACCCCTTCAAATTCCCCTTATCCTATCTTCAGTGTTCACTTCAATTTGCATCACTTTTCATCTTCTCTCCCTCAAATTCCAAATCTCACAAACCTTTTTCATCACAAAAATGGCTTCGACAACTTTAACAGCCCTTACCCTTCGTTCTCTATCTTATCCAACACCCTCCTCTTACCCTACGCACCTCTCCGCCAAACCCTCCCTCCAATTCCCCAGCTTCTTCCACCGCGCCACCACCACCACGCGCCGGGCACGCGTCGTTGTGTCTGCCGTCGAAGCGCCGGAGAAAATCACGACTCTCGGCGACGCAATCGCCGGACTCACCCTGGAGGAGGCGAAGACTCTCGTGGACTTCCTCCAGGACAAGCTCGGGGTCTCCGCAGCGTCCTTCGCTCCCGTGGCTGCCGTCGCGGCTCCCGGAGGCGCCGCTGCGGATGCGGCGCCGGTGGTGGAAGAGAAGACGGAGTTCGACGTCGTGATCGAGGAGGTGCCGAGCAATGCGAGAATCGCCGTGATTAAGGCCGTGAGAGCGTTGACGAGCCTGGCGCTGAAGGAGGCGAAGGAGTTGATCGAAGGATTGCCGAAGAAGTTCAAGGAAGGGATTTCAAAGGAAGAAGCGGAAGATGCGAAGAAGCAACTCGAAGAAGCTGGTGCCAAGATTGCCATTGTTTAGGACTTGCTGTTTTTGCTTTGTTGTAGTTGAGTACACTGTAATTTCATATCATTTTGTCTGGATTTCAATTTTATTTGTAATGAGGAATTTATGAGTTTTTGTTTGTCTAATTTTTTTTTATGCAGCTCAGGTGTTTGTCGAAACGGGGTGAACTGGTGCAGGTTTTTTTATATCAGTCAAATAATGAACTGAATTAAGAATTGGTAATGGCGTCCAAAAATCATAATCCAGAACATGTGGATAAAATTTATTTGATATCTGTTACTATGATGTTTAATTAGTAATGTAGAATTCTCAGCATTCTTCACATTTTTAGAACATACTCAATTTTCTCCTAATTCTAGATTACTCGAATTTTTTTACGTGCAGGATACACGGAAACGTATCAGATATGATAAGCTTTCTAATTTTTTCATCGATGTCTTCAACCATTATTTTTCTGGCAAACTTTAAGAACAAATATTTGTACAGGAAACAAATGAAAACGTCTTTATTTCATTTATATTTTGGAGTTTCTTTCACCAAAATCATCACGTGTTCACTGATGAGTTATGTTAAGCACAACATTTCTTTTTTATTGGACAAATTGTTGAGGATCTAGGATAGGATGGATTCAAAGAAAATTTTTCAATTATTTTAATTGGATAAATTTAATTAGGACAAAGAAGGTGATCAGAAAAAATAATTAATAAATAAATATTTTATTATTATTAATTATTTTCACTTGTATGTTATAAAAAGTATTTTTTATTTTACTGTTAAATACTTTAAGCAAAATAAATTAGTATACACACCCTCAATTTCACGGTTCAAAAGGAAGTCCTACAAATTTAAATTGTCTTTGATTTCCTTTTATCGAAAGCATTGAATTTGAACATTTTTTCTTCTTTCAATCTTCTTTTCAAACATAGTTTTTAAGCTAGGAAGAACAATTAACTTCCAATTACAGCCACTCTTTCAACACAAAGTAGCCCAAACAGCTATAAAAATTAATATAAAATTACATAGATAAATAGAAGAAAAAATTGTAGGTATCAGAAGTTGATCTGAATTCAAACCTGGGTGTTTAATTTGATTAGGGTTTGGGTTACTGAAAAGGAACAGGAACACCGTGGTTCTTGTTGACTATAGCCATTGCCTGGTAGCGAGTACCCATACCGATCGGAACATCTTCATCGGGTCCTTCCCAAAAGGGAGCTTCACCATCACCAACAAGTCTCCAGTAACCTGTTCGCAAGGTTTCAGCCTGTTCCTCCGTGCAGTTCTGAAGGAGTGCCTCAACACGAAAATTTATTCCAAGAGAACCAAGAAATTGAGATTGAGTAATTGGCCCGTGAACACACACTTCTCCTGCATGTGTTACCAAATTAGTTTTTTCTGATATCTGATTCTAATAATCATACTATTTGTTAAAATACAAAACATTTTGGAAGCACACCCGAAGCTTCCTCTGCAGAATGCCTAATGGAAGCAAAATCAACATATGCACTGAGATCGGCTGATCCAGGATTGTCTAGAAGGTTCACAAACTTGTGTTTCCGAATTGCCTGCATCAATCCAAACACCATCAAAGTACGAGGGAGGAAAGACAACCTATGTATAATATATCAACTACAATATCCATTTCAATAATTGACTCAGATATTAGTCGTATTCTACATGACAATTACCAGCATAAAGAAACTTCAATTTATGTAAACTCTCAAGTTTAACAATCTTATCTTTCACAATGAGTTCCATCACCCACCCTCTTGATGGGTCCATCGAGATAGCAGAATTCATCGGAAGACAAAACAACAAATGAGACCTGAACTCAGGGATTGACACTACCTTCAACCATCAACCATAACGTTAAGGCTATGAGTTTATAAGTCTTTTACTTCTTCTACCTTATATGGTGCTCAACTTTCTTATTTTTACTAATATTTAATTTAGACTCACACTTAAATCCAATACCTCTGTATCATAATGTATACTCCAAAGAGAGAGATTGTGTTTTACTGTCACTATGCTTATTATTTTTTATCAGAATTTTAAACCAACGTGTTTGCTTATGCTAATATTTCCACGGTAGTAATACAAGATGAAAAGTAGGATACGGGATACTACACTTGGAGTAAAACTAGAAAGCAGCACTTCTAAGAATAAGATGAGAAAGATGCTAGACCTGGAGACTGTTCGAGATTACTCCGTTCATGCCATAGTCAATGATTAGAGCTCCTCCACCATCAGAACTTATCCTGTCAACAATGGTTTGGGTCAACTCCATGGCTTGGGGACAAATCTCAATTTGATTGAGCTCGGCAAATTCCTCGGGTGCAGCCCATTTCAACCGCTTTAATAGATAGAGAGTAGCAGGTGTTGGCTGTGGAGAAAGAACAAAACGAAACCTATCCGATATATGTAAGAAGTATCAATACACTAAACCCAGAAAAAATACAATTTAAAAGAGTAGATTATATTACAATACTTACGATGAATCTTCTGCCACATCAACCATTTTCTCACACCAGCCTCGAGATGCTTTCTGCAGAGTCCAGACAAAGAAATCACGCTTCAAAGAATGTAACACCAAGAGCAATATACAAATGGAAGGAATTGGCAGAGAACTTGGATTTCATTGTTTTACAAAACTTATACAAGGTATAGTATGAAAACTTCTATTATAATGGACATTAAGGAACTAAAACTATGAATTTTGCCAAGCTAAAAAATCCCTTTTGAAGCAGGAAATTAGTGGAAATTTGGAATTGTTTAAACAAAAGGAGTGCAACAGTTGAGGTTCAAACTTATCTGTCACAAAACATAGCTGTGGATGAAAAAGTATAAAGTAACAGCTGTGGAAGAAGCATTTGAAAGCAAAAATTTGGAGAATTTCGAATCTAAAATCTTAATTTTGCAGCTTGATAGATGTTCTTAGTTTTAATTCAGCTTAATAGCACAAGCATTATATTACCTGAAACTGGTGGACTGGAAGGGCATCAAAGAACTCATGCGCAATTATAATTGTTGGCACTGGAGCACAACAAGAGCAATTGGTCAGGGCATTTTTATACACAGTTCAATAAGATGTTTTAATGTAACACAGAACAGAATTGAAATTTCATGTAAGAAGTTGCACACCATATTCTATGCCCAAAAGTCTATTTTCATTGGAAAAGCATTACATACATCCTGATGGAATCTGCTCCAGCATTGCATGCCACGATACAGGAGTACCAAACAAAGACCTGGCAGTTCTTACATCAGTATCTTGAGAACCATTCTCTTCCTCAACGCATTTCAAGTTCTGGTGCTGAAGCTTCTGCAGTGCTGGACTACATTCCACCAAGTGCACATGCAATGACTCAATGAAGTTCTTAAACTTTGAAGCACCCTATAAGAAATTAAAAACTTCCATATGTAGTTGAGAATGTAAACAAAAGGTTTAGAAATTCAAGCATAAAAGCACATCATCATCATACGCGAAGGAGATCGGCCATGAGAGTTCCTCGTCCGGGGCCAAGCTCAACTAGATTTATTCTCTGAGGTTGGCCCATTTGCTGCCAAAGACACATCACCCAGACACCAACCATCTATGTTTGAAAAAACAAGGTATTAGAATTAAAATCATTGTCATGACACCTGAAGAAGCCTTAGCTATAGTTCATGCTTGGATAAATTTCTATACATACACTTGAATAGGAGAATAAGACAAGAAAAACAAAATAAAATGAGTTTCTCCGTAAAATTTAACTTACCAATGAACTAATTTGTAAAAAAATTCCCATGGTAGTTTTTCTAAAAGATTTTAGAAAAAATTAATTCATTTTTCACTTCGTTTTCTTTTATACAAACATTCTAGTTCAATAGATGAAGATAATTCACCTCACCTCACCAAACATCTGGCTAACTTCGGGAGAGGTGATAAAGTCACCCTCTGCTCCAAAAACATCCCGATTGATGTAGTACCCAGCTTTAGGATTTGTCAAAACTTCGGACATGTACTCACCAAGGGAAATAGGCCCTCCACGAAACTGATAATCACGACTAACATAAATTAAAATCGACGAAACCCAAATGTTAAAGACTCAATTTTTATGATGCAAAAATTGAATGGAATAAGATAAAACCTTGATGATGCCTTTGAGGTGCTTGACGAGCTCGGAATCAGAAGTTGGGTGGTGAGCATGCTCTGGCAGAAGAGAGAAAGAGAGTTTGAGCGAGTACAATAAACAAAGAAAAGAGGGAAATTTGAAGAGAGTACCAGGTGGATTGTAAAGGGTAGAACGGTCAATGGATATTGTGGTGGCAGTGGTCTCTGAAGAAGAAGAAGAACAGAACCTTCGATAGTGTCGTGGCACCGTGGGGCGATGAAGTGAGTAACATTGCCGCAACGCTCTTCTCAGCATTTCTTCTTTACTTTTTTTTTCCTTACAGGAATCGAAGCTGAGAGTGTGAGGTTTTACATAGTTAAGGTTTTTTTCTAGTTTATGCTCATACCAATTTTCTCTCTCATTTTTGTTATTTAGGTATTTTAATACGATTTTTGGGTATTTTCTAACCAAAGAAATACAACAAGAATAATAGTCGATTGATCAAGATTAAAAATAAAATACATGTTTTTTTTTTCTCACAGCAATGTTTAACCAAGAATAATACTTGTTTACGTGTTCTTCTAATACTTGTTTATTGTTTACGTGTTTCACATTTTATTATTATTATTTTTGTGAGAAAACTAAAACCACGTATAAAATGAAACGAAGAGAGAAATAACTAATACAAATTTTCTTTCAAGACCAACAATGTCCTCAGTTTCAGGCTATGTGTGAATATAAAATTGTCAACTAAGAACTAAATATTTTTTATTTCATGCCATAGTGAAAAACAAAAAAAGTTTACTCTGAAAAAGAATAAAATAAAAAGTATGAAATCTTCTTCACTTAATTTGAAAATTTATTACAAATAAAGAAAATCTTTTTACCGCACTCTCTTAAGTTTACTCACTATGTTTTCAATCCCTTTTCTCTTAAGTTAGTAATTAGATAAGTTCGACTCACCTAAGTATTAAAACCATTCAATTATATTCTTAAATAATGTTATATAGTCTTTAAAATTCAAAATGTCAATTTTTATAATTAAAAATTTGTAAATTATTATAATAAAAATAGATTAAATATATTTTTATTCTTTAAATTATATAAAATTTAAATACATTATGTTTGAAATTTGATGTTTTAGTTTTAAAAATTTAAAAATAATAAATATAATCATTTTTTACCTCAATTAGAATTTTTCTTTTCACATGTCAATAGCCGTTTTTCAACTGAAAGAAGTAAAAACGCATTAATTGGATTATTTAATATAGGTTTAATTGCTTCCTTTGTCCCCAGTTTGGTTGAATTGTGTCAAATTCATCCTCATTTTTAAAAAAGTTTCATTGTCGTCCTCACGTGGTATAAAAGTGTCAATTGAATCCAAACATAGAAAAAATTTGTGTCAAAGTAGTCATTTTTCCTATAT